AAGTCGTGGTTCAGACGATGGCTGGCGAGTTCGGCCCCGTCACACGTACACGAATGTTTCAGTGAAGATGTTTCAGTTCACTTCCGATCTGTGCGAGGGACGAGGCTACAGACTGTGTCTCTGTCATAGGCTACATGTGGGGACCAATTTAAACGATTTGTTCAGTGTGTGTGTGTGTGTGTGTGTGTTCTATCTGCTGTCAATCAAACACAGACGTCTCACCTGTGACCGTCCTCTGACCTTCACTCAAACTGTTCCACCATTGGTTGATCTGAAACACAAACATCCAGGGCTCAGGTAAGAGGTGAGACTGAATCTACGCCGCAGACGGAACTCTTCTGTCTCACCTCTTTGCGGACGTCTCCTCTCTTCTGGGGCTTCATCTTCTCCAGCCAATCAGCTCTGATCTCATCAAAGAAGCTCTGGACTCTAAACTTGACGGACTCGTACTGCCAGATCGCCGCCGAGCCAAAAGAGCAGCCTGTAAACTGACATGGAGTTAATACCCGGCCGTGACCTCACCACCTCCAGCTCCTCCCGCTGAGCATCACCTACCCCCACAGTGAAGACCAGCGGTCTGATGAGGCGACTGAAGGCACGGGGGGAGGTGGGCGGGGCCTGCTGTTCCAGGTGGGGGGTCGGCGTCCTGCGAGGGACCGCAGCCTCAGACTCTGTGTGTGGGGGTCCTGGCTCCTCCTCCACCTTCTTGGATTCCGGTTTCCTGCCGACTTTTCTGAAGCCACACCTCTGCTGGAAGCTGTGAGGCCACCTGCTGGGAAGTCATGGGGGGGCATTTAAATCATGCTGGAGCCTTTTGACAGGAGACAATGTGGACACTTCTACGTCTTTCTCAATAAATACATCGTCTCCGCGTCTAATGTCACAAACTCTCTGCGCTGCCCTCTAGTGGAACTACTGATCAACTACCGTGGTAACGCAGAGGACGTGTGAACGAATGTGTGGATTGAAATGAATAAAGTTCAAACACATGAATCTTTAATAAGAAGGATGACGACGTGACGCTGATCAGCTGGACGAACAGATCACGAGTCGGTTTCATCATCAGGACTCGTTAATGAACATTGATCTGATTGATCTGATTGAAGCTGCAGGTTCAATCAGCTGAAGCATCAATAATCCACAACTGACGTTTCTTCATGTTTGTCTCTGAGCTGGTTAGAAATCAGGTTTTTATTTAATGAAACGAGCTGAATCCGAACATTGTTCATTAATAAACACGGAAATGTTCAAACCAAACAAACCGCAGTTAGCTGGGTTAGCTGCCCAGCTAACGTTAGCCAGCTAGTTAACCCATAAACAAAGTGTCCCTGAAGCTAACGGAGCTAGCTCCGGGCAGCGGGGCTCTGGCTGTCAGACAGCCGGGACACGCTGCCTCTCCCCGGCTGTGCTCACTGACCTGCCGCCCCTCGTCGAGCTCCGCAGAGCGGCCTCTCCGCTCAGCCTGAGCAGGACGGAGCAGCTCCTCCACGCCATGTTGGAGCCGGTGACCTCGGAGGGATCGTTCACTTCCGGGTGCGGCACGGAGCTCGGGGGTCTGGCGACACCTGGAGGTCAGACGGCAGCACTGCACGGAATGACAAAATAAAAGATCCATAAAACTCAACAACCTCCTTCCACGATTTATTAAAAGTAAAATACACCAAACTGCAATATACCATTTTAAATATGTTTATTCAAATATAAAAGATGAAAAATCAAAAAGTGAGTCATATAATTAAAACGATAATTGATATGAAAATACTTTATGTCGTCGTCGTTCGGTCTTAAATGAATTGATTTTATAAATAGGTCTCACACGAACTCCTACAATAACCCAGTTTATTAATACAGTTTAGTAATCAGTGTTTTACGGAGCAGGGGTAGCACTTTATTTTGAAGGCGTTGAGAAGCCGAACTGTTGTTTCCGGTGGTTGTGCTCGGCTCGGCTCGGCTCGGCTCCGCTCGGCTCGGTTCGGCTCCGCTCGGCTCCGCTCGGCTCGGCTCGGCTCCGCTCGGCTCGGCTCGGCTCCTCCAGCAGCAGCAGTGAACCTGATCTCGGAGGGAAGATGGCGGCCCCTGCTCTCTCCGCTCGGTCCGGCTCGGCAGGAAGCCTCGGG